CAACAAGTTAAATAATTGTTAACTAACGAAATTTTCTCGAACGACCGTCTTAATTGTAAGTGAAAAAAAATGTTTTAATAATGGTCGTAAAAATATTTCGCTTCGTAGAGCCTTTCTTACATACATACTTAACAAGATCGTGCCATAAAAGTTAAAGAAATATTTATACTTTGTTTATAACAATTTTTTACTTAAACAAAAACTTAAAAATCCAAGTAATGTTGTTAAAAAATTTTTTTTTTTTTTCTAAATCATCAAATTATCGTTTTTATATTAATACAAGATATTTATTGATTTGCAAAAAAAAATTTCCCGCCATTGTTAATAATTTTTTTTTAAACAAATTGATTAAATCAATTGTTTTAAAAAAAAAAATTTCACAACTTTATTACATTACAAATATTATGATTGTTTAAAAAAAAAATTTCCTTAATAACATATTTTAATTGTTTATAATCGTTTTTTTATATTTCTTTTGTTTAAATAATTAGTTAAGAAATTTTTTTTTTTTAAAAATCATAATTCACAATCCTCTATAAAGTAACAGAAAAAATTTTTTTTAATCAACAATTCTATTGTTTATTAACTTACCAATTTGTTATAAACAAATGTTCAACTTTTTATATTTTTTTCTAAAACTTCTAAAATTAACAAAAACAACCATATATAACAAAATATAGAAAAACATTTTTTTAAATTTTTTGATTATCATGAATATTACTTTTATTAAAAAAATTTTTTTTTTTTTTTATAGACTTTGTTATATATGTTTGTTTTTGTTAATTTTAGAAGTTTTAGAAAAAAATATAAAAAGTTGAACATTTGTTTATAACAAATTGGTAAGTTAATAAACAATAGAATTGTTGATTAAAAAAATTTTTTTCTGTTACTTTATAGAGGATTGTGAATTATGATTTTTAAAAAAAAAAATTTCTTAACTAATTATTTAAACAAAAGAAATATAAAAAAACGATTATAAACAATTAAAATATGTTATTAAGGAAATTTTTTTTTAAACAATCATAATATTTGTAATGTAATAAAGTTAGAAATTTTTTTTTTAAAACAATTGATTTAATCAATTTGTTTAAAAAAAAATTATTAACAAATGGAGGGAAATTTTTTTTTGCAAATCAATAAATATCTTGTATTAATATAAAAACGATAATTTGATGATTTAGAAAAAAAAATTTTTTAACAACATTACTTGGATTTTTAAGTTTTTGTTTAAGTAAAAAATTGTTATAAACAAAGTATAAATATTTCTTTAACTTTTATGGCACGATCTTGTTAAGTATGTATGTAAGAAAGGCTCTACGAAGCGAAATATTTTTACGACCATTATTAAAACATTTTTTTTCACTTACAATTAAGACGGTCGTTCGAGAAAATTTCGTTAGTTAACAATTATTTAACTTGTTGAAAAATTAACTTTAAGTAAAATTTCCAACGGGAATAAATTAATTATAGTGTTCAGAACACACCATAATTTTTTCAAATTTAAAAAAATATTCAATACCTTAAATAAATTAATTAATGTGCCGTAGTCGCTTTTGACGCCACGCGCGAATCCTAAAAATGTCACGCACAGACCTATTTTCAGCGTTAAATTAAAGTTATAAATAATGGAGATAGAGTTCCGGGAGCTGAGAGTTTTTATTGGAAATTTCCTCCTCTTTCAGAATCTTTATTTGAAATTTCTTAAATATTAATAGTTTATTAAATATTGGCAAAAAACTAAATTCCATTTTTTTTCATCTTTAATGGTCTATAACTTTTGCAATTTTTTATGTGCTAATACACGCTTTTAGCACATTTTTCTAGGCGTCATTCCGGTTCGAATGAGCTATCGCACATAATTTTAAGAGCAGTATCTCTATTTTGTTCCATTTTCAACTTGTCGACTAGACTAAGATAGCAACTAGCGCACTTTCGCTTATGCCTTAATTTTCGTGAGTTGCTTAAATTTATATATTTTAAATAAAACTGAGAATTCTTTTAAAACACAAGATTACTTTTATGGTTCAGTGACTAAGGCACTGTCCATTTTCTTGGGAGATTTTACAAAAGCCGTTCAATTTTCTATAAAAATCCTCACGTTGTAATTGAAAGGATAATTGGACGGGTTAAGTAAATGCACAAAAAGTAGACAGCTTTTTTTCGTTTAGCGTATTTCATTTCTACTGTAACTATTTTACGTTTCGAGCTCATAATTTACCATCCTCAGGGCACATGAAAATACCGTTGGAACAAATTCTACGAATAATTCTTCAGTAAATGATATAATTTGTGAACGACAAAGAGAAGGAAATTGGATATCGGAATCAGCACTTTTAATTATTGTACAGTAAAAGTGGGAATTAAACTGTTTCTAAAGTTATACATTGCCTCATTGGTCTAGTAGCTAGTGGAGCTAGTAACTCGTCATGAAGTGTCGGGTTTGGTTCCCGGTGATTGATTTTACCAAGAAAACTTTCGTTTTAAGTTTGCAAGTTGGCGTTTAAACGCCTGTTTAGCCGTGGCACAGAGGCACCCTTTTGCCACATGCCAAGGGCTAAGCATAATATGTAAATCTGTTGGTCCTGCTCTCGTGACACGGCAGGGTCAGAAACAGAGAACTATTATTATAAGAGTTACTATAAAGAAAAAAAAGTGCGTGCGTACAAAGTACACATGTCAGAAGTAGAACCTTCTTTGTAAAATTAATTTTTAACTCTTGTTCATATTTATACAAATCTAAAACTTTAGATTTCACAGACTTAGAGGGAGGGAAAAAGGAAGATATGTTAGGAATTTAATGAATTTAATTGTCATTAAAATATTAAAAGTGTCGAAAATTAATACAAATAATAAATTTAATTTTTTAATTTCTTTCTTCGGTAATGAAAACACGTAGTAGCATTTTAATTTACAATTCGTCATTTGAGATTTCAAAATATTATTCTGCATAAAATATAAAATACTAATATTTCATAAATTCTCTTTTACGAAATTTTAATTTAAGAAATAGAATTTCTATAAGGTAATTCACCCTTCTCACTCTCTCTCAATCGGTCTCAATTGCTCTCTCCCTTTTTTTCGACAAAAACGGTGCACATCTTCGTGACGTTTTTTAAAAAAAATACCCACATGCACCTAAAGAAGTTTCACTTCAAAAAATCAAGATAAATCTGTTGCTATGCTACTGACCTGATATGCTGTCAAATACACTCATGATTATCATATCAGTCGATAAACTGTTGATTTTATCGATTTAAGTTACTTATGTAACATTAGTCCGTCAATAATATATTATATTTTTGCAAATGTTTATTTCTCGTATTAAAAGGTAAGCAATACAAGAGATGGGAAGGGGATGTAAAACTGATTGCAAGCAGACTGAGTCCAGGTGGGGAAAGAAAGGACAGAATGGAAAAGCTGAAAGAAACCTTGATGGGGACCGCCAAAGGCGGTTCTAGTTTACCAAATATAAACAAAAAAATAGGATTAGAAATATTAACATAAGGAACTCGACAAGGATAGAGGACATTACAAAGAGTATTCGACAATTAGTGGAGATGGACAGTACACACCTTGCGAGGAGCTGAGAAGTGGAGTGAAATTTTATTGAGTTGGTACACAAAAATTGGAAAAAATTTCAATAGTACAGAGATGGGAAAATGAAATATAACTGGTTGCAGACAAGTTTTGGTTAAAAGTGGGGCGAGCACAATGGAAGGGTCTATATGAGGCTTTTGTCGGGATACGCAAACGGACCTTAGTTTGTTTTCAAATGATTGTGTGTAAGAAAGAAGAACTTGTCCGAAATAAAAGCTATCTTTATTTTATTTAAAGAAGCTGATAAAGTTCGTATATGTGTTTACTTTTATTAAAATAAATATTATAATATACTTTAACTGACATATTATCAAAGTAAAACTTGTAATTTGGATAGTTTAAGTGCAATAATAAATTGTTTGTTTGTCCCTCTAATGTTAGTTTTCAGGACAGTGACCGTGACTGACATTTAAAATTCATTTCGTATAATACAATGCATGCTTAATTCACCCCAAATTTGATATGCAAATAAAGTTAATATATCGTATAGCCACTTATAACGGAACAAAATATAGATTTAAAAAAAAACAAGTTTACAATGGGATGTGAAACAATTTTCGCTGTAAAAACAGCGAGGAATAGTTTCTTTAATGTAGCTGTTAAAACCCATCACTAGATAAGTATAATTGTGAATTATTATCTTTAATTGTTAAACGCTTATGTTTTTTTATTTTTATCTATTTAAACTTTATAATTACTTTAAACACTGACAAAGGTAGTATATATGGTATGTATACGACGTTTTTTACTTTATTTCAACAGAAAGAACATTGAATGTTGGATTAAAATCAATGACTAGTAATATTATTAAAATAATACGTTGGTAAAAAAATAAATAAAAAACCTCACAAAAATTATATAGATTTAAAAAAACAAGCCGTAACTTCATTGATAAAGCTTAACAAATCAAAGTCCTATCACATTTAATTTAACAATTCAACTTTAATTATCTGCTAAACGCCATCTGTCTTTTGTTTTATGATAACAATACCTATTCAGAGTTGAAGAAAAATGTCCTTAATAATGTGGTAATTAAAGGGCAGACGAATTTACACTGTTAAAATATTTACGCACGTAAAATGTGGTGTTTCAATCAAAGCGTTATAATTTACGCTAAAGAGTTTCTTTGGTTAAACGCGCGAGTCTTGGTAATTTTGGTTTAACATGAAAAATAATTTTGTGTTGAACTTGAAAAAATTCCCCTATTAAATAATATAATATGCAATGACTAATAATAGGTAAAAAATAACAAACCCACAAAATTATGTTGCCACTACTAACTACGTATCGTCCAAATTGTAATTACAACAACGTGTTTTTAAATAATGTATTTATATATTGGAGCATAAATTAAACATAATATAATATTGCTTTATAGTTTATTATATCAATACATCGTTTACTTAAGATGATTGCGATGTGGTTTCAGCTGCTGTGGGCTGAGGATAACTAATGTCTACAGTCTGTTTCATACTCCTGACTGTCATATTATCTATCATGCTCTGCCTTCCTAAACGGATGCTAACCGGACCTGTTGGGAAGAATCTACTAGAGAACGTAACTTCACCGTTACCACAAAATAGTTCTATGGAACTCGAATCGATATACAATCTCCAGGTCAATTTGCCTAAAGGTCTCCAATTTGTACGGCGCACTGCGTCTTTTCCTCCACGATCGAGAGTAATAGTACCTTTTTGATGATCATAACTAATTTGCACTTGATTTCCTTCTGATTCAATGAACACGTCCAAATTCAGCAGTGGCGAAGATCTTATCAATATTTCGGCCGTATTGTTTACCAATTTTATTACTTTGCCACCCCTGGTTACACCCGAATGGAGGACACGTCCTCTCGCAGCATCTATGTCTTTAACCGGTTTCTGTAGTAAAATACCATTTTTTCCCAGCTTTAGTTTTCTAGCTAAGGTCATTTGCCCTGCGAAACCTTGATCCATTTCAGGGTAATTTTGATCCCACATATCCATCCAAGCTATAACAACTCTGCTACCATCTTCATCTAGCGTAGTTTGAGTTGCGTAGAAGTCATGACCATGATCTAGTTCCTGAAAGTCATACAATGGAGTAAAGGTTTTAGTGTCATAACTGAAGTCACCAATTATGTGTCCGGTTTGGAATAAATTTTTATATTTATCTCCTTCGGGTTTGACCCCTTGTGGCGAAAATAGTAATACCCAGTGGCCGTCCAACTCGAAAAAGTCGGGACATTCAAACATATATCCCAGTCTACCATCTGATTCTAGTAGTATAGATGCTTTTTCCCAGTTAATTTTGTCAGAAGATTCCCACAGTAAAATACGACCTAGAGTTTCATTTGACTCGCCTTTAAATGAATTTCCTAGAACCATGTAGTACTTATCGCCATGTTTCCATATTTTAGGGTCTCTTAGGTCTGGTTGAAATCCACTTCCATTTATGATAGGATTCATTTCATACTTCACGATATTGTACCCATCGTCGCTAGTTGCCAATGCTTGATATTGACTATGATCTGGAGTTTCACCTTCGTGATATACGTTTCCTGTGTAATATAAATACATTTTTCCAGCGTCAACTAGACAACTTCCAGAAAACACGCCACCGTCATCATACCATTGGTCAGGATTTAGTGCAACGGGAAGATGTTTCCAGTGAAAAAAGTCGGTACTAACAGCATGGCCCCAGTGAACGATTCCAGGTCCATAGCTACTGTATGGGTTGTGTTGATAGAAGAGATGGTAGACACCATTAAAAAAGCAGAATCCGTTAGGATCGTTCATCCATCCCCTATCAGGTGACAGATGGTACTTAGGGTACAGGTTGTTCGCAGCTGCAAGTCTGGAATAAAAGAAAATAAATGTTATAAGCTTAGTAATCATTGTGATGCAGCTAAATGACGAACTACGGACAGCGAATAAATAATTTCCTGTTGGCAAAACATTTATATGATGTAGCAAGGTCACCTTGTCTTTGCAAATTATTGCAAGGTGTTACGTGTATATTTCACTGAATTAGAGATGGTTGATGGTATTGAATATGGTAGAAATTATAAAATCGTTTTGTATTCAAATATTACCATGATAATAAATACTATTTGTTCATTCTATTCCCATTTTCATATTAATAGAGATTCTTTATATTTAGAAGCAATTTCTATTACAGAACATATATTATTGGTACAATAATGTAAATCATGTAAATAACGATGACCTTTTGTTACAATATTACCTGTATTGAACTAAAGAGAAAATGATTCGAGGAAATCTTGACAATATCTATTGAATATTATTTGTGATGTAATTTGCAATTCATTACGAAGGCCCCTATTATATTACGTATCTGAAGACAAACCTAGTCTAAGGAATTATTAACAATTACAAACTTTGTAGAATAAAAGTTTCAATAGGTCTCCAAAATAAGTTCGCTTAGCTATATTAAAAATAAACCTAAATCATACTTAAACATCCCTATGCTGGCTTACAATAGCGTATTAGAGTAAGTAGTTATGATGACCTCTTTGTCTTTTGTTTGTGTTACGTGTACAATGTACATTTCCCTAAATTAGAGATGGTTGATGGTATTGAATATTATAGAAATTATGGGAGCTTTTAGGATCTTATGTTTCAAGGATTGCGCCTACAATATTTAGAATGTTATAACATATGTATCTCGAAGCTTTTGTTAAGTCGAAAACTCGTTATGTCGATTTTTTCGCATTTTCCTTGACGTTTGAGTTATCGAAATTCCACTGTAACTGATAAAATATGTTGTGTACAAACTTGATTATTTACTTGTGTATAACATGTTAAGATCTGAATAAAGAGTTGCTTCTGTGTTAGTTGAATATCACGAAAAGCATAAATACATATTTAATATACCTAGTATATATTATATGTATATGCCAATATATTAATTAAGGGCAGACACATTTTAGCCTTAATAGGTAATCAGATCAGTTTCTTTACTACGTTTCCGATACTATGGCAAAAGTGAATTGCAGATATACAAATAATAACCATCGCTGCACAGCCGGGATTTGAACGCGGCAAAATTGAGAATCACACGCTGATAGCTAAATCCTTTTACTGCTTCGTATAAAGCTTTAAGGAAATTCATGCGGTTACCGTAGTACAAACATGTATCATATTTCATTTATAGCAAAATAATAATTTATGAAAAGGTACTTATAAATAAATTAGTACACTTAGAGAGATAATTGTTTTGTAAATAGTGCACATGCGCAGAAGTCTTTTCCGAGTTATAGCAACGCCAGTCAGCTTTTGAATGTCCAAGTGCGTGCGAGCTTTAAAAGCTGTTCGAAACTTTTGCGATCCGAACGCGACATTTCTTATATAAAGTTAAAAATGTGTGTATTAGTGTAAAAATGTATTAGTGTATAAAGATAGAACAAAATAGTTCGATTAATTGTTCGACTTACTTTGGTTTTAAGTGATAACTAGTATTAATTATAGTTATGTGAAGTTATTAATTAGGGATATTATTTAATTAGGTATTTATTAGGATTATTTAGGAATTGTTATAAGGTAAGTTTCTTATATTTCCTTTTAACATGTAAATAAATATTTAAATAAACTTGTATATTAAACAAATCGTTCATTGAATATAAATTATAACTGATCCCAGCTGTTATTAAAATATATTTCTAACAAGTTTTTTCACACAATTTCTTTGAAATAAATTAAATAGTGTTAAAAGAAACTACAGATCATCCGATTAAAATATACCTATTCTTATGTTCGATGTATACTTCGTTTTCTAAGAAAAAATAAACACATTATTAATAGTATTCTCAAGCTCTGTATGTTTCTTAGAAACGTATTGTACATTCTTGGGCATCGCAATATTGCTTTGTTTATAATCCGCTTTCAAATAAAAAAAAATCTCAGCTTCCTAAAATTAGTTAAAACTACTCAAAAAACGTTTTAAAGTTAGAAGTTTAGTTTTTAGCTGGATTTGTCCAAACATTCGACTTCAATTTAAAGATACAAAAAGAAGTTTCCATAGCTTCTGGCTAAGTTTAGAAACTCCGCAGGGTTCTAAGCTACCAAAATCATAGAAAAAATGGTACTTAATTGGTCTTTTTTTTTTGGTGGATAGGCTAAAAATCATTGAAGTATTAAAAATGTTTTTTTTTTTTTTTTCGACTTTTGTAATTCTTATGGTAAATTAAACTTTACGATCTATGTTTTGTTAATTTTAATATTTACCCGTAAAAAAAGTAGCTCGTGTAATTCTTACAATAATTTTGGTCTTACCACTCAAACTTCAAAATGTTATTCGAAATGATTATTGCTAGTTGTGAAATTGCCTGTTTTTTTTAATATAAAGAAAAGCCGTTAGTGCACCGCTGTGCACTGTGATTTGACGAACTTAAATAAACAATAAACTAACTTTAACATTAACAACTTTAAATAAATGGTTGTATCTCTCACATTTGAAACATTAAGTTGTAAAGCGCTTACTGTCAGCGACTGATTTAAATTAGATAATTAAAATGACAGCTTAAACGTTAATCCTTAGTAAACTACGTGCATATAAGTAACACGGGGTACCATATGGAGCCCGACAGTAGGTATACACTATACTTATTGTAATTAATTTGGTGTATGTTAATTTCTTTCTTGTGTAATGTACCTAGATATTTTAAGGTTTATAAAAAAATGCGGTAAGTATCCTAACATAGTATCGCAACAGTAACACGTACGTCAGTGATCTCCACTATATTAATTGTTCTCTTGTGCTATTAAGAACTTTATAGAAAAATAAAGAAAAAAATCATTGAAAGGAAAAATAAAATAAAATAAAATTGATTGAAAGTGAATTGGAAACAAGAGGCTCTACTAAAAACAGCCAGAAAAGCCACAAAAAAGAATGGATGCACTCAATAAAAACAAAATCAGGAGAAACTATAACAAATCGACAAAGCATCCTTCTATCAGCTACTGACTTTTATAAAAAAAATTGATTCGGAAAACCAACAAACGAACCCAGTCGACTTAAATATAAACCAGATACACGATCAAGAACAGGTCCCTTGCTTTTTAATAGGCGAAGTCGAAAGCGCTATCTCAAGAATGAAGAAAAATAAATCACCCGGCGAAGATGGTATCACCACAGACATGTTGTAATAGCAACGGCAGAACAATTGGCACCACACCTGACTAATATTTTTAATAAAATACTTGAAAGAGAAAAAATACCCGATCATTGGACACATTCAATAATAACACTTATATACAAGAAAGGAGACTCCAAACTAATAGATAATTACCGCCCAATCAGCTTACTACCGACTTTATACAAACTTTTCTCATCACTCTTACTCTTCCGAATCAGTAAAAGCTTAGACGAACAGCAACCACGAGAGCAAGCCGGATTTAGGAAAGGATTCTCAACTGTTGACCATATCTTTACATTGACACAGTGCATTGTAAAGTGCAGAGAATATAACAAACCTATCTACTTGGCATTCGTTGATTATACTAAAGCGTTTGATTCGATTTTACATACACATTTATGGAAAGCATTAAAAGAACAAGGAATAAATAATAAAATTATTAGAATATTAAAACTTACACTATTTCGGATTAAACGTGGAGTCAAACAAGGCGACCCTATCTCACCAAAACTTTTTACAGCTCTATTAGAATGATGATGATATTAGATGTTCAGAAAACTACATTGGGCAAATTGTGGACTTAACATAAATGGAGAATTCCTGTCACATCTACGCTTTGCCGATGACATAGTAATACTGTCAAATACTCATGAAAATCTACAAATCATGCTTTCACTAAACACTGTAAGTAAAAATATAGGCTTACAAATGAACATGACAAAAACCAAAATTATGACCAATGACGACCGCATAATTACAACAATAGAGTCATGTGTAATAGAGTATGTAAATGAATACATTTATATAGGCCAACTCATTTCCCTGGACGATCTCACAGAAAAAGAGCCAAGTCGACGAATCGCCATCTCATGGAAAAAATTCTGGGCAAACAAAGATATTGTAGCGAATCGTAGATACGCACTAAAACAGCGATTACAACAGATGACACTGGAGAATGCAGCTCTTCAGCAGAAACTGACTGATATTGGATCTACATCAGAATCAACACCCAAGTCTGAAGAGCAAGCGGTGTGCAAGGTAGCTGTCAAGTTACCACCTTTCTGGCCTGACAAACCAGCGGTATGGTTTGGGCAGGTGGAAGCTCAGTTTGATATAGCGGGTATTTTTGGTGATAATACCAAATATAATTATGTAATAGGTAGATTAGACCAAAAGTTAGCTGGGGAGATTGAGGATATCATTACCAGGCCCCCACCCATAGGCCAACGGTATAAAAAGGTAAAAGATGAGTTAGTACGGCGTCTTTCAATGTCAGAGGAACAGCGGGTACGCCAGCTTATTAGTGTAGAGGAGCTTGGAGACAGGCGACCATCGTAGTTTCTGCGTCATCTGCGTTCGTTAGCGGGTAACACCCTTACAGATGAAAATATTTTGCGCCAGCTTTGGATGCGCCGTTTTCCTCAAAATATTCAGGCTATTTTAGCTTCGCAAACTGAACTGAGTCTGGACAAAATAGCAGACCTCGCAGACAAGATCACAGAGATATCAGGACCCAGCCACCAGGTGTACTCCTGTGCGATGCCAGCGCCTGCACCATCGGTACTGGATTCTTTAGTAAAGACAGTGGAAGATTTAAGCAAGCAAGTAGCATCTCTTACCAACTTGCATCCTCGCGGTCGTTCACGCAGCAAATCAATATCTAGACAGTGTTCTCGCGGTGCCTCACCTAGAAATCCAGATATGTGTTGGTACCATAGAAGGTTCAATAGCAGGGCAACC